ATTTGACCCCAGAGCTTGTAGCAACAAATCAAAACGTGCAGACTAAATAACCAGTAAAAGTTGTTTGTCTAATTGCAGCAGCACAAAAAGTTCTGTCGACATCAGCAAAACACAAAGTGTAAAGAAGATCCCACTTGAGGATGCCAATACGGCAAAACTGTGAGATGACTTTCAGTTGATGAAATCTGCTATGTCATGAAGAGACACTACAGTAATTGAAGCCTCTGGGAGGCTGGTAGTCTCTGGTATTTTCTCAGAGAAAGTCGTATCATTAAACGCTGATAGCCACTGCTATCTCTCCACAGCAAAATGCCATAGCACTGACCCAGAACACATTCTCTCTGTCAGAAAACCTTCCTTATCCAAATCCCAGCTGTCGCTCACTGTATATCAAGCACACAGCGCTGCTTCTGGCCCACACAGGGAGAACAGCCTTTTGTCCCCTGACTCTGTCTCCCAAATTGTTCTCTATCTCCCTCACATACACATTTTCCCTCTCTATCTCTCTCTCTCTCTCTGTCCTCTCCAGTTCTTGTCGAACTTTACTGTCTGCAATTTAGTCTGGAAACGCAATGCACATGCACACACACTAGGGCTGCACAACAACACAAAGGTTGCGCAACAAATAATAATTAGTCATCACTTTGATGGATTGGGTTGTATACTTTTCTACATGCTCTATTGTAGCGTTTGGTGTTTTTAATCTGACTGATATCGCATGACTTTCTGTAGAAAGACTTAACAGGTGTTGTGGCCTTTTTTTTTTTTTTTTGCCCTGACATTGTGAAAAAGAAACAGACATTGCGGTCTTGTGAACTGGCCTTCTGATTTATTAAATAATATCACATGGATTATTTCACTGGACTACTGTTGGATCTCTCGTTTGTCATCCTAAATCCTTAGTCACATGACTATCCTGGTCTATTTTGGCAGGGATGCTTTATACACCCACCCCCCATTTTCTTTATTTATAATCCACATTTTCATCTTTTACAGTAATGATTTAGCTAAACACAATAGACCATAGCAATCTTCACCACAACATAAGTAATTTTCAAACACAGTAAGGAATGACTTCACGATATGGTAATTCTGTCTAAATGTTACTATTTAAAATGTATGCCATACCCCATAATTTCAAACATGTCACTTAAATCGCTACTAATTAAATTTGGAAAATGTTAAACTCACATCAGACTTTTTGACAATTGGCTATTTTTCACTTAGGACAACTGGTTGTATCTTCATTAATGCTTTTTGAGAATCATACACTCTTGCCTAGAACATAACCGAGCATTATCTAAATCTCTTAAACTCTTTTGAACACTCAAGCGTGTCCCCAAGCATCAGACTTTTCTGACATTTTCAGACTTATTCCATTTAGCCTCACAAATCACTTACTCCCAATTAGAACAAAACAGACCAATATTTAACTCTCTTAACTGCTTTAACGCTCAGACATACATGAGTCACTGCAACACTGATATGATAAAGCATTGATGCCTTACAGACATAACAGTATGACTTTATGTAAAGCTGCTTTGAAACAGTGTTATACAAAGCGATATGCTGTACAAATAAATTTGACATTATTAAATCAATGTTTGTCCAATTTGCTTAATGACAGAAAAAAAATCAGTAAAAGCCACCTCTGGTTGAATTAGTCAGTAAGATCTGCCATTAGTCAACGTACTGGGTCTGTCCACAGCTTGTGCCACAGTGTAGCTGCATGTCATTATCTTAATGTGATAATCTGTGAATAAAATAAACCCTGACCACTTTGCGTTCACAAAACATGAACCATCTTGGTTTTGCAGACATCTGAAGCCGGGCATACACTGTGAGATTTCAGAAATGTTTTTGTTAGATACCAACTGTTACTGTACGAGTAAATCACATGCGATGTAAAGCCAAAGCTCACTTTATGTGCTCACAGTATACGGTAAACACGTAGAACCCCCCGAACCCATAACGGTGTTGCTATTTCTGAAGAAGAACCATGCTTTCCTGGCAGAAATGCAGTGTTGCCATAGTTTATTTCTGTTCTTGCACAGGCGAAGTCAGGGAAAAACACTGAGTTCAGGGCAATCGCTACATCGTAGATCTGCTTCAACTGTGCGATACCCTCACAAGGGGTGAACAAAATTTCTGACATGTCAGAAATTCATCCGACCGTCCAATTACCAATCAGGAGGGTTTGACCCCCTTTTCATTACCCCCTGTACGCTGCATGACAAATTATGCATGACAAATCTGAAAGTTGGCCTGACAAAAAAAAAAAAGAGTCATCTGACTCAGAAATCAAATGAAAAACGCACAGTATATGCCTGGCTTATGATGGTTAGCCACCATGAAACCAATCAAGATTATTGCAGAGTGTCTTTTTACACAAAGTACAAATATCCTGACTTGTTGGCAAAGGCTAATTAAACTAACTCTAACTTTTGGTAACAAGAGCTGTGGTTTGAAGAGTACAGTCACATTAATGTAATTTCAGTTAAACCTTGAGGGCAAAAAGATCTGTTATCTTCAATAGTGTAGCAATGTATGAAGCAAGTCACTTTCAAACCAAGCAGCTTTCTGTTGGTCATTGTGGCGAATTTGTGTAAAAAACAATAATGTGTGGCAAAATCTTTGACCCTTACACAAAATTCCAGATCACGTGGATTCCTATTGAAATGACTGGATTTCAACTGCAAAAATTCGCTGAACAGCAGTAAATGTGACCGCATCTTAAGAACATGAGATTTAGCTTTTGACTCGACCAACTTGAGTTTATATCCGCCTTTTTCCAACATCCAATTATGATTTTAATAAATACATCCTGAATACATGTTAATTATCGCATAATGTTTTATCATGCACTGCAATACAATAACGTACAAATAGTCACTATTTGCACTAAGTATAAATACCTTCTAATGCCTGGTATACATGTACGATTTCGGACTGTCCCAGACGAAATATGACCAATGTGAAACAATTGTGGCGATTTATTTGGCCATGGCTCCTTAACGGTGGTCTCACGTTGTACTGTGAGAGAAGTTCAAAGACGGCCGTTGTCACAGTCTTGCGACCAAAGATAGCCTGCAATCATTTTCTAGTAGTGTCAAAAATGTTGGATAACCATCTCACAGTGTGTTTGCTGCTACAACCTACGCCTACTGATGGTGAGCGTGATTTGACCAAGTACAAGATCATCCTTGTTGATCCAGGAACATCATTCCAATCAACCAATCAGAATTGAGAGAGAACTTTTAAGGAAATGTCAGTTTTAGGCTTACAATCAGGATTAGGTGATTCTACACCCTTGTTAATCAGCTATCATTTCACACTGATTTTAGGAATAAATTATGGATAGGGTTAGGTTTAGGGGTAGGGATTGGGTTAAGTCTGCATTTTTTGACAGTAATGTTGATCCAGGATCAACAAAAGATGTTGATCCAGGAACATGTCTTACTTGGCAAAATCCCAGCAACCGCCTACTGACTAGCCAATAAAAATGCAACATGAAATGATGTACTGATCAACGCGACACGGAGCTAAAACAAAAATGCCCTGGAGGCAAAAAGAGCTAAAAGGAATACCGGTATGTGGGATTCCAATAAGTACTTTATTGTCTCCTCCGCCACCTCCTCTTCTTTTTTTCAGTACACATAAAAACCACAATTGCCAAAGCATGATTCATCTTCCTTTACTACTAGTGCATGCTGATGAAGTTTTATTCTTCTATACTAACTTGCATCATAGCCTACGATTTAATAGGTGTCATCATCGTACTGTCTGTCGTACCATTCACCTCTGACAAATTAAAGTAAGTCTGGCATGATTTTTATCACAGTACAAGTTGCTTTACCTCAGATCTGCATGCTTTCTTTTCTCATTCGCATTATCTCAGCTGCGCAAACATTCTCTACATTTACAAACTTTCTGTCAATAGAACAGTGTTAAACTGCAAAGCCCGCTGATGCTGCACAGTGTATCGTGAGTCATTTTATATAAGGTAAACAATGACCTGCTGACTGGTTGACTACTTCTCTGGATTATTAGATGTCTGGTTAAAATTAGTACTCGTGCAACATACACAGAACAATCACTATTTCTAAATGCACTCAGATAAAAACCTGCATATACATGAATCCCACATCTCTCTCTCTCACCCGCAAACACACACAACACTAACACCTGCATCATTGGGTGTGATGTGGGCCGCTCTAATAAAAAATAAAAAATAAAAAAAACAGAGAGGAGGGGGGCAGGGGGTTTTGCGCTCATGCGCAGAGTTGGGAGAATGTTGTCTTGGCATGGAACTTGCACTCGCCTCGCTGTGTTTGTTCTTTACATGATTTTACGAGGTTTCAGTGATGCACTCGACCAGGTATGTTGTATACAGCGCTTCCCCAGGCCACCACCATGCAACCATTTTTCAATCACTCACGCTGGTTATGTTCATTTTTGCAGGGAAGCTAGACCAAACTACCATGATGTTTTGTTTGTGTGGATAGCTAATTCTGAAATGAATGCTGTGGGAAAGCGTATGTCGTATCTTTTAATTGAACTACTGAATGAAAACCGATCAGACGATGTTTTTGTCATGTTGGAAAAAGTTTACACTCTATTAAGTCCATACTTCAAAGGACAGGGTATACTGAAGTCTTCGAAATATGTCTTGTGCGGATCATGAGTGTTCTCTTGAAAGTATATTTGAAGAAAAAAAAGCTTTTAAACATATGTCAAAGACAAAAGAGTCCTACAAATCTACTAAGGACAAAAGTTTATATTATTATTATTATTATTATTATTATTTTAATGGTTTAAACTCCCATAACCATTTCAAAATCACTGCAATTAATGAACTGCTTATGTTTTTATGAAATACATTTTTCAATAAATAGTTACATCTCTTAATAATAATAATTTAAAGAAACCATTCTTCCACCATAAGTAGTATACCATAGTCATATCTATAAGGTGAATGTCAGGCTGTTTACCTAACTTACGTATGCTTCGCTCCCGGAAGGCTCTCTTTGAGGAGGGAACCTTCACCGGCATTCCTCGCGGTGCTGGCCCGGAGCGGCAGCTGCACTCGTGGGGTTTGCAGATGGATCTGGTGGAGGGAATGGAGACAGGCGAGTCCCTATCTTCTTCCTCACCCGCCAGATCTGCCCGCTCTCTGGGATCGGAAGCCCATTCTGCGGGTTCTTGCCCCCGGGGAGAGGGCTCGGCACTCCGCCTATCTTCTTCCGAGGAGGTTGATGTGGAGAGAGTCGAGGATTCGACCCCCTCAGTCACCCCAGTATGAGGAGTTGTTGGAGGTGGTTACTCATGCAGTAGCTAAGTTAAACATTGATTGGCCCACCAAGAAACAGGCTGAACTGCAGAAGAGTAAATTCAGCGAACTAAGCCGCCACCTCCACACCGGAGCCTGCCTTTTTTCCCCGACCTCCATACCGAAGTGTTGAGGTCGTGGGTGAAACCATTCTCGGCCCACTTATTCATCCCTGCCTCTGATTATTACTGCAATGTGGCGGGGTTGGGTGAGCGCGGTTATAGATCGATGCCCCGGGTAGAACAGACGCTCACAAGCTGTCTGTCTCCCAACGCGGTACTGTCTCTAAAGGCTCCGGTCTTGCCCTCCAAGCCACTGCGAACCACTTCAGCGCTGGTGGGCAAGAGGTTCACGGCAGCAGGTCAGGCTTGTGCGTGTCTGCACACAATGGCTGTGTTGCAGGCATACCAAGCCGACTTGCTTAAAGAGCTAGATGAAGGTAAAGAAGTTAAAGCAGATGATATTTCAGAACTGAGGAGAACCGCTGATTTATCTCGCCACGCCACCAAGGAGACCGCCTGTGCCATTGGCCGGTCCATGGCAGTTCTGGTGGCAGCGGAGAGACATTTATGGTTGACCCTGTCTGATATGAAGGAGAAGGACAAGGTCTTCCTCATGGACGCTCCGCTTGCGCCTTCTGGTCTGTTCTGTGACGCCATCAACTCCGTCGTCGACAGATACCAGGAGGCTCATAAACAGGCGGCGGCATTCCAGTGGTTTTTCCCTTGCCGTTCTCTAGCTCTGGGGGCTGCTGGGCGGGAGCAGCCCGGCCGTGTACCAGCTCCTCATACAGAGAGGTGCAAAAGTTGAGCAGGTCCCCGCAACGGGACCGAGGTCTGCGACACTCTAAACCGGGGGCTTCCAAGGCGAGGCCCGATCTGAGGGTTGTGCTTCAGTCGAGGAAGCCCTCGACAAAGTGGTCCTGACAATCATGGCCCAGAACTGCAGAGGGTGGCCCCTACTGGGGAAGAGCGGGGTGCACCACATTACACGGTGTCCGTCTCTCCTCAGAGCCCTCAGGAGATCAGTCTGCTAATCCTGCCAGAGTTCTAGGGTGCAGCAGCCTCCAGCGAGCACACATCTCAGTGTCTTCTGCCCGGAAACGTAGCGGGGTCTCTAGGGCAGTTAGTTCGATCGTCTCCTGCAGGTCCTCCACTTGAGGGCACCGAGCTAGCAGCTCCAAGTACACCAGAGATCAGTCTCGAGAGACTGGTTCCCTTAGTAGACTATTTAGCAGCATGGAAACTACTGCCAAATGTGTCTTGCTGGGTCCTGCAGACTGTAGAAAAAGGCTATCGCATTCAGTTCGGCGCTCCGCCGTGGCCATTCAACAGGGTCTTTCCCACATTGGTGGGCACCGAGCAGGCTCTGATATTGGAACAGGAAGTAAACACCCTCTTGAGGAAGGAGGCCATTGAGGTGGTCCCTCCTCACAACAGAGAGTCCGGGCACAGCTCGTAGCTTCCGGTCTATCAACCGAGGTTGTTGAGACCATCCTCCAATCCAGAGCTCCCTCTACGAGGAAACTGTATGCCTTGAAGTGGAAACTTTTCCCTTCTTGGTGCGGAGATCGCCAGCTCGACCCAGTTAACTGCCCAGTTGGTACAGTGCTAGAGTTCCTGCAGGCCCGTTTCACCGCAGGGCTAACCCACTCCACCCTGAAGGTCAACGTGAAGGTCTACCATGCCCCTCTCGGTGGCCAGTCAGTGGGCAGACACCCCCTAGTTACATGTTTACTGTACAATCTTGCGTCCCCACATGGGACCTGGCTGTGGTGCTAGAAGCTCTTTGTATGTCTCTATTCGAGCCTATTGAAGAAATTTCTGATCGCTATCTCACAATTAAGACTGCCCTCCTTCTGGCTATTACTTCTCTAAAAAGAGTTGGGGATCTTCAGGCCCTCTCAGTGGCCCCTTCTTATCTTGACTTTGCGCTCGGCATGGCCAAAGTGTTTCTCTACCCTCGTGCGGGGTATATCCCTAAGGTTCCCTCTGTTACACCACAGCCTATCATGATACAGGCCTCCTGTCCTCCTCCCTTCAGGGACCCTGAAGGATGAACCAACTGCTTGTGTGCTATGGTCCACCTAAGAAGGGTCTCAGTTGGTGGATAGTTGATGCCATTACTATTGCCTATGAGTCCTCTGATCTCCCCTCGCCTCTGGGGGTCAAGGCTCACTCGACCCGAGGTATGGCGGCCTCCAAGGCCTTCTTGGCAGGTATGTTCATGCAGGACATCTGCAACGCAGCGGGATGGTCCATGGCCCTCACGTTTGTCATGTTCTATGGCCTAGATATGCGAGCCACTCCTGGCTCTTCTGTTCTCTCGTCCTAGTTGTGCTCTTCCACACTAGTCAGGAATTTGCAAGTCTGGCAGCGTGGGCATACTCGTTCCCAAAGCATTCTCCGACGCAGCTCGAGTTCCTGAAGGGGAACGTCTTCAGGTTACGTATGTTACCATTGTTCCCCGAAGGGAACGAGACGTTGCGTCTCGGGGCCATACTTCCGGCATCCCTGTCAGCGCTTGCTTCATTCCTAGAAGCTGATGCCGGTTCGACCTCACGTGCTTTTATAGCTTCCTGGTCTCACCCTTCCATTGGACTGATTACACATGTGATTCAGAGCCGGTCACGCTGAAAGGTGTTCCCAAAGTGTTCTCTGACGCAGCGTCTAGTTCCCTTTGCGGAACCATGGTTACATAGGTAACCTGGAGACGTTTTCTTGGCTGTATTGGCAAAAACATTAACAGAAATTTAACTGATTGATTTTTCAGATAGTGTCTAACTCTGCCAGTTGATATATTGCATGTCTTTATTTTTTATGTTATTAGTTTTGCAGCTGGGTGCCTTCTAAACTGGGGTTGAGTAACATCTTTCAAGGTTACAGTACAGCTCCACACTACTGTTACTAGAGGAAAACTTCAACTTGTACTGTGGTAAGACACAATAATACAGTATACAACTCGGGTTCAGTCTTATATGTGTAGTGTAAGAAAAATGTACAGATCACTCCAAGACAAAACATTCACAGATTGCATAATACTGACATATGAATACTGTACATTACAGGTAGCTTATGTTATGTACCCACTATCCAGTAGTTTGCATCACTTAATTCGGTAGCTATCATAATCTGTATCCGTATCATATAACTTTCAATTAATTTTAAGTAAGGTTATTTTGGCCTTTCACATTGTATTTTGTAATAAAACACAATGTAACTAAATCCAATTCATCACCATTTAATAATGTGAACTACTTCACTATTAAACTACACTGACAGTGTGTTGCATACTGTGAAGTTTTACATCAGTTGTTCTCTGTTGTCCTTTTAAATCCATGCTGATATCAGGCTATTTTGAGGATCGTGTTTGTCAGACTGTTAACAGTGAAAGTTCCCAGTGACCTTTGCACAGGACCTGTTTAAAAGTGAAATGCGTAATGTGTTCGATGTTAAAATGCATTCACAACACCAAAGGTTGATTCACTGTGGCACTATGAAAACAGTGAAAACATTCACTGTGGCGCTATGAGTTTGGGCGCGGGACTATCCGACAAAACATTCACAGATTGCATAATACTGACATATGAATACTGTACATTACAGGTAGCTTATGTTATGTACCCACTATCCAGTAGTTTGCATCACTTAATTCGGTAGCTATCATAATCTGTATCCGTATCATATAACTTTCAATTAATTTTAAGTAAGGTTATTTTGGCCTTTCACATTGTATTTTGTAATAAAACACAATGTAACTAAATCCAATTCATCACCATTTAATAATGTGAACTACTTCACTATTAAACTACACTGACAGTGTGTTGCATACTGTGAAGTTTTACATCAGTTGTTCTCTGTTGTCCTTTTAAATCCATGCTGATATCAGGCTATTTTGAGGATCGTGTTTGTCAGACTGTTAAGAGTGAAAGTTCCCAGTGACCTTTGCACAGGACCTGTTTAAAAGTGAAATGCGTAATGTGTTCGATGTTAAAATGCATTCACAACACCAAAGGTTGATTCACTGTGGCACTATGAAAACAGTGAAAACATTCACTGTGGCGCTATGAGTTTGGGCGCGGGACTATCTGTTTATTCTGCCAATGACAGATGAGGGGAAATTTGTTTGTTTTTTCAATTCCATTTAGTCATGCTCGTGGAACAGAAATACATGTAAGCTTTAACCAAAATATCTTAAGATTAATCGTCAAAACAATGCCTTCTGACAGGTGGTATATTCACTGTGCTCAGATGCATCGCTACATGCTGACAGAATTAAATCCTCAGAAAATATTATCTTCTAAGTCTGTGGCATGCCAGAATTGGCCAGGTCGAAGAACTCAGAATTACTGTGACTGGAAAAGTGTGCTAAATTAATGTTAAATGTGGAAAAGGAAACCTAAAATCCCTCTACTGTCAAGAGATAAACGCTTCCTTTATTTTTATTTATTTTTTTAATAAACCCAATCACCCAATTGGCTTTGAGGAAAGAGCTTGATCCTGTTATTGGCCCAAATATGTCTTCCAGCTTAGCAGAGCAGCCATAACTCCTCATGAAACGTTGGGTTCTTGGAGCTGACAGCGTTCAGAGATAAGTTTTTATAAACGAGGCACAGAAGGGAGTATAACTTTTGAAGCATTTAACTTCAGATTTTTTTAAATAGCTTTTTCAACACAACCTTTCTGGCCTCCTATGATGATTAGATGAGGATGATGAAGGATGTTTAAACACTGTGGAGATATTTCTACACTGTTTAAAGCTGTTGAGCACAACAAATCACACATGTGCACACACACACAGACACACACGCGCGCGCCCTGTACGGCTACTATTAAAGTACATTTCAATAGAGTAGAGTTGTAATAGCTGTAGAGTTGTTGCCAAAATTAAATATGTAAGCAGTTATTATATCATATTAGATAAAAGCCTGGGAGTGTTAATGGCAAGTAAATGAGAAAGTGGCTGCATAAGTATGGAGAAGGGGCAAAATCATTAAAAAGGAAAAAAAGTAATTTATGACAAAGTTTAATGATTTTCAGTTCTTCTCAGCAGACAGAGTCTTGTTTCATAATGAGCACAATTTATTAACAGAGTACTTAATTTATTTTAATAATCATGCAGAAACACAGTATAGAAGTGTTTATGTTCACAGTGGCCCTGTTGTCACAAT